CTTCTCTGCAGTTAAAATCCTCTTAAAAAGCACCTAATTCAGTGAAAATGAAAATTGTTATTTAAATATTAAAAACTTTTCCAGCTAGATAATTTTGCGCTCGTGAATTAACATCTTGAAAGTAATTTCCGTTTTTATAAATTTTTCTATTAAATTGAGATAAAAATTTTAAGCAATTTTTAAATATCAATGGTACGGAAAAGTTGTATGATTCTTATTTTATTACAGACATGATTCTACTAAAATTTAATTTAATATCAACTTAAATGGAACATTAACTTTTAACTTGATCATTTATTCTTAGCTTTTGAAATGATGAAAAATTGAGAGGAAGACATGAGGAGCTGTACATAAAAGATGTCCAACATTTATGAGTGGAAGAGGATCAGCCGTTTTTTGACGGTTCATCCAAATTTACATTTTTTTATGGCAAGGCATAGGGGGGAGGTTAAAACCAATTTTTTTTGATAGACGTCATTTATGAACAGCCCTTGACAACTTTTTTTGGATATGGATAAAGTTTTTCATCATACGCTATACAGAAGGTGAAGAATGCCAGATAAAAACTTTGATTACCTATTAAACTAGAAATTTTTCAGTAACTTAATTACGAAAGCTCGCTTAGAAAATACTCGTCAAGTGAGTGGGCGTGAAGTACGGCCGAGACCCATATCGACACAGTTCAAAAGTTATACCTAATTTATGTCATAATTATTTCAGCTGCAACAACACTTAGTTTGAATTTTGTCACCCTCAGAAACACTATGAACCAGTAAAGCTGATTTTGGTCCAAATCTCGGCCATACTTCACACTTATTTGAACCACATTTTCTCGTAAATGTTAAAATATTATTAAAAAGTAATTAATCCTGAATTATGTCGCTATTTTGTCAAGTGTTTTAAGATAAAGAATTTGTTTTTTGGTTTCCACAGTAAAGAGTATGAACAAAATTCAGATGGGGTAGTCGAAATTTTAGATTTCGATTTTTTTTAAGCTATGCATTACAAAAAGTAATATTGGTATGAGGCTGTTCACTTGTTACGTAACGCGAAAAAATGACTTCTTAGACCCCCCCCCCCCCCCCTAGTAACAAAAAAAATTTCCTTGTTTGAATCGTAACAAAATCTTAGACCCCCCCCCTAAAAGCGTTACGTAATAAGTGAATGGCCCCTATGTGATTTATGTCAGAATTATGTCAATTCAAATTAAACATCCAAAAATTTTTTGACCAAAGTACACCATAACAATAAAAAGCGTGTAAAAAATCAATATTCAATTTTGGACTAGGGGCGACCCTAGTCAAAATCAATTTTGTCACTTTTTTCTTTGAGGGTTTATCCAAATAGATTAAAACTTTGCATAAATATTCTAATGCTTAAAACAAATACAAATAAAACATCCTAAAATTTTTTTGAGCAAAGAACCAAGTAGGAAATACATTTTTAATTATGAACTTGGGACAGGTCTAGTCAAAATCTAGTTTCCTCCTTGGTTCTTTACTCAAAAAAAATTTAAGGATGTTTTATTTGTATTTGTTTAAAGCACTAAAATATTTATGCAAAGTTTCAATCCATTTGTATAAACCCTCAAAGAAAAAAGTGACAAAATTGATTTCGACTAGGGTCGTGGATAAACCCTCAAAGAAAAAAGTGACAAAATTGATTTTGACTAGGGTCGCCCCTAGTCCAAAATTGAAAATGTATTTTCTACTTGGTTCTTTGCTCAAAAAAATTTTAGGATGTTTTATTTGTATTTGTTTTAAGCATTAGAATATTTATGCAAAGTTTTAATCTATTTGGATAAACCCTCAAAGAAAAAAGTGACAAAATTGATTTTGACTAGGGTCGCCCCTAGTCCAAAATTGAAAATTGCTTTTCTTTGGTTTGTTGTTTTATTTGAATTGACATAGTTCTGACATAAATCACATACCAATATTACTTTTTGTAATGCATAGCTTAAAAAAAATCGAAATCTAAAATTTCGACTACCCCATCTGAATTTTGTTCACACTCTTCACTGTGGAAACCAAAAAACAAATTCTGTATCTTAAAACACTTGACAAAATATCGACATAATTCAGGATTAATTACTTTTTAATAATATTTTAACATTTACGAGAAAATGTGGTTCAAATAAGTGTGAAGTATGGCCGAGATTTGGACCAAAATCAGCTATACTGGTTCATAGTGTTCCCGAGGGTGACAAAATTCAAGCTAAGTGTTGTTGCAGCTGACATAATTATGACATAAACTAGGTATAACTTTTGAACTGTGTCGATATGGGTCTCGGCCGTACTTCACGCCTACGTCAAGTGACAATTTGATTTTCTTCCTTTTGAAAGCCTAGAAAGATGATAAATGGCTCTAGAAAATTCTCAAGATGTCTTCATGCAACCATTAAAAGCAATTTGCTTATCATAAACATGGCAATTTATCAAAGTGAAAAATATTCTATGGTTGAATGTGATGCTATTGTCATGATGCTTTGATGATGTTACTTTTATGGCTTCCTCATGAAGCTATAAGTTGTGTGCGGCTGCGACGAGAAATACAAGGTTTATATGGGATGGTAAAATGGAAATATTAAAATCATACAAGAAGCAAAAGTAGAACTTTGCAAGACTCTAAAGCTTAATACTTGCTGTACAAAGCTTAACCAACCCGCGAGACTAACCGTATAAGATTTTGACTAATAGATTAAACAAAAAGTTAACACTGCTATAAACTTTAAACCTCCAGAAAACCCAAAAAAACTTTCTTCCATCTCCAAAATCTCAGTCATATTTTAATGATCATTTCCCACAGCAGCAAAGCTCAAAAGTCACTGAATTTCTACCTTTTATCTACATAACATGTTATGTTGTATAACAACATAAACTTTACCTAGAAATCTCAATAGAACATACAGAAATCTCTTTCAAAGTAATCTAACAAAAGGAATTATCACATACTAATTAGCTAAAAGCTCAGTTGAGCTTTCCTCGTCAGATAATTAGAAAGTTCTGTTCATGTATTCAAATCACAAACAGCACAGATTCCCACAAAAAAATAACATCCACAAACAAATTTTCCATTTTCTGAGCTAGAATAAAAGAAATCCCAGAGGTAACTTCAGTTTATTTCCTTTACATTATTTCCATCTTCATATGTTCATCTTTCCACATCGCACATCATCGTCATTTTGTTCTCTATAATCATGTTTGTTGTAGATCTGGGGGGGGGGGGGGGGTGGATCGGTTCTAGGAAGAGTTGTTGAGTTCTTGAAAAGGATCTGAAACAAAACAATTTCAAGAATGAGAGTAGGTTTGAACCTCGTTTTGATTTGCTAATTTGAAACGGGGCCTGATTTTCTCATACAAATTACAATCTAGAGGTTAAGGTGGGGGGGGGGGGGGAGGGTCAATCTCTTCTGGCTAGTTTAATGGTCTTTAGCCACTTCTGACTAGGATAATGCTCTTCAGCCACTTCTTAATAGCTTCATGAACCAGAGCTGCTCTTGATCAGCTTAGTATGAAGCTCCTGACTCCACCCCTGCTGTGAATGAGATGAAAAAGAAAAATAAACCTTCAAAGCAAGAAGCAACAGAAAAATAAAGAAGAATTGCATTCAACTTGTTAGATATACATGTGAATAGAAGTAGAATGATGATATGATGTGGCGGTTTGTGGAAACTAAAGCATAAGGAGATGTAAAACTGTCTATTCACTCTTGAAAGCAAAGTTGTTTTTTTTATGTGCTCACTTTTCATTTTCCCCAGATTGTTTCTTCGCATCACATGTAGATGAAAAAGAGAGAAGTTGAAGAGAATATACAAGCAATGTACAGGAATGAAATTGTTCTGGAACTTTTGCATCATTCATTTCGTTGAATCAAAAAAAAAATTCTAGTGAGAAAGTTTCTCATTTTGAACTTTTTTCTTTAAACACAAAAAAAGCAGCGGTAGATTCTATTCTGTGCTCTACTGTTAATGTGCATGTGCAAGTATAGAAGGGAAAGAGCAAGTATAAAAATTCTGTTATTTAAAAAAAAAACTACAATGCACATAATAAGTTTTCTATGTTCGTTTGTTTGGTCGGAAAGCAAGAGTTTGAGATCCTTGGGTGAATTTTGGGGCGGTTTTGATGTGCTTTTGAAATATTGTAGCTTTATTACTTCCGGTCTATATTTTTGTTTGACATTTAAATGAGAGGATGTAAAATGAAGTTCGAGTTGAAGTTATTAAAGTTCATGGAACATTTTATGCTAAGTTCTCACAATAATGCCATCAACAATAATTATGCAATTGTTAATCCGTCCTATTTTATTGATTAATATCCTCTGCTCAGTTTTGATTCCCATCTTTTGACATTGAAAATTATATAAAAAAAAACAGGTTTTAAACTTTAATACAAAACATGTTTTTAAACATTTGTAGGATTCGAACTATGGTGCATTTAAATTTTTCGTCAAGCTTGACCTTACTTTAATGCTTGTGCTGTAATTTATCTTCCAGTTTATTAATTTTCTCTTAGCTGTTTACAAATTTAAGTTTCACAAATTATAACTGCACTTGATATTTTACCTAAGACTTGCTACCTTAATTAGGGTGCAATTAAGCCTTCAACATTTAAAACTCATCGAAAAAACATCTCAATCCAAAAACTATTCATCTCAAGGGAAACAATACACAAGAATGGAGTAAGAAAAAAAAAATTCCGAAATTATTTAAGTTTACGTCAAAAAGCATAAATTCATTCCATTTTCTTTTGTTTACTTTATGTGAGCTTATTATGAAACTAGTTGTGCTAACTAGCATAAGCGAATATGAAAAGAGAGAGAATGAATGAATGGGAGTTGCTTGAACAAATTGGAATCATAAGAAAGTTTTCTAGCAAGTAAGCATACCGTTCCATCAGATTTCCTCAATGATTTCATTTTTTTCTTCTTGTCTAGCTGCATTCAGTGAGATGGGAGGAATTTGTAGAAGGGATTACAGGGTTGAGAATATTACTTTAGTCTAAATGGTTGGTGAATGAATATTTATGTCGTGGAATGGATTGTAAAACAACTAAGATTGTTAGAAATCTTAAGCAAAATCTCCTATACGTTTCAAAATTTACAATATATAATTTTACAGGACAACGACCAGCAAACCAACGACATAACGGAAAATCCGATTCACACTCAATCAGCAGAGGAATTTCAATCACTAGAGCAGGTTTGTTTACCGGAGGAACAGCCAGGAACAAGTCATCAAAATAACGAAGACGTGGATATGCTAGAAATCAAACACGAACGCGACGACAATATAAATTCAGTAATTTATGAACAAAGCATTCCAATCTCATCATCAGTAGAAATCAAAATGGAATCAAAACTTGAGTCAAATAATATCAAAATCGAAGAACCGGACCAGACAGATTCATCTCCTGATACAAGTAGGACAACAAGTGCTTTTGACGAAGAAGATGGTACTGAAAAAGTTTTTGAGGAAGAAGTGGTCGAGGAACAAGTTGTTCAAGAAGGAGTTGTCCAGGAAGAACTTATTGAATGTTATGTAGCATCAGAAAAACTTGATAAAATTGTTCAGGAACGCATGCTTTTACAAGATGAAATTTTATTTTATTGCGAGTATTGTTCACTCGACTTTGCAGCACAGGCATATCTTACCAGACATGAACATACCAAAAAGCACGCAAGAGCAGTAATAATGGCACGTAGAGGAAGATGGACAAAACAAAAGGCTAGATATAAAAGAAAAAATCCAGTCAAAATTCCTCAAAAGTTCCAAAAAGCCAAGATAATTTCAGCAATTATAAATAAGTCAAAAAACAAACAAAGTCAAAAAGCTGCAGAAAAAAAGCCAAAAACGTCGACATTAGAGCAAAAAGATCATCATGTCGTACCTGAAATGAACAATGTTACTCCAACATCCACACAATTTGGTTCTGGATTGGGAACTCTTTATGACGACGAATCTGTTTATCATATCCAAGAAATTGAAGAGTATTCACAAGCTCAAAATTGTATTTCACCAAGTGAAGAAGATTCAGTGGTACCTAGTATTAGTCATCAACAGTCACAGGACTTAGTTCCAAGTACAAATAGACTACAGCTTCAAGATATAGTTCCAAGCACCAGTAGACAACAGCCTCAATACTTAGTTCCAAGTACTAGTAGACAACAACTTCAACATTTGATTCCAAGCACCAGTAGACAACAGCCTCAATACTTAGTTCCAAGTACTAGTAGACAACAACTTCAACAATTGATTCCAAGCACCAGTAGACAACAGCCACAATACTTAGTCCGCAGTCCTAGTACACAACAACTTCAACACTTGATTCCAAGCACAAGTTATCAACTGTCACAAAACTTAGTTCCAAGCACTAGCTATCAACAGTTTCGAAATTTAATTCCAAGCACCAGTAGACAACAACCTCAATGTTTAATTCCAAGCACAAGTAGACAACAGACTCAACACTTTGTTCCAAGTAATAATAGAGAACATCTTGCAGACATAGTTTCAAGAACCAGTAGACAACAACCACGAGTATATGCTCAAAGTTTGACTCCTTTATATGAAAATTATGTACAAAAACTACAAATGTTATCAAGTGTCTTTAGTCAATTGTCTACGATACAACCACAAAGTTTAAGTATTCAAAGCACCAGCAGTCAAAAAACTCAGAAATCAGCTCACAATTCGGTATTTTATGAGTCACAGGATCAAAATTTTCACTTTTCTATAATTTTATTCATCTTTATATTCACAGCTTAAGCAGGAAAAGCATAACAAGCCCGTCAAACCATACATTTGCAAATTTTGTGGACGTGAATATGCTCGACGTGATTATTTTGAAAAGCATGTTAATAGTCATTTAAAGACAGAGAATTCTTAAAGATTAGAGATGATTAGCTAATGGAAACAAGAGACTACTGATTTTAAAATCTAATGATTTAAGTTTATAGAACGAAAGTTGACCAACAGAATAACATTAAGGAACATTAAAGAAATGACGAAGTTGAAATTTCTTTTGACGTGCTTCTTCAAAAAATAATCTTCAATTTTTTCAGCTTCATAAAATGTCAAGTTTAGCTTCAAAATACTGAGTGGGAATCGAACCTAATTTTATGGTAAAAGCATGTTCAGTGTAAAAGCTTGGCTTATAGATTCCTGATATGGTTCGCTTAAACTCTTAGCCATAAAAGCTCCAACATTTTTCTCGTATTATCAGATTCGCCTCCATATCTCCATTCCTCAGATACCACTCTGTTGTGATGCTACATTTGTTATTAAATAGTTAAGCCGATGATATTAAATCATCTGGTTAAGGTGAACTATGTATTTCCAACAGAAATAATGTCATGTACTGAAACAATCCAAAGCTAAGCTCATCCATAGATCCATTAGATCTTAACATCCAAACCCACATTCTTACCCATAAACTCAATTAAATCCTCATTACATTCCACCTCTGCAAAAAGCGAAAGATGGATGATTGTATAAGAATGAGAATGAAATGATGCATCATTCCACTGACTGCAAGAAGTGGAAAAAAATAGTACGAAATGAAAAATCTTTTTCCTCATTTTTCTGATCTTATAAAATATACTTTTTTCTGATGATATGATAAAACTTTTCACATTTCATTATATCAAAAAAAAAAAAAAAAATGTTAGGTGTGCAATATTGAGCATAACATGTATGAGCTTTGCTTTTTTTTTCATACTTTGTTCTTTATTCACTAACTGCTTGCGCTTGAAAATGAACTTATGATAGAAAAATTTCCTCTATATATAATTTTTTTTTGTGTTTCTTACCTCATCCACTATGGCTGGTGAAACTTCACATCTGAAGAGAAATTTCTTCCTTTCTGTTCCTTCATCTCTCCATTTTTATGATATATTATTAGATATGATTAATTTAAACTGAAAAGTTTTTCATTCTTCATCATCATCATTTTTGTTTTATGCTTTTTAGAAATTATTTATTATGGAGTTCATTGTTCTTAATTAAGGGAATCATTTGTGAATTATGACAATGTTGATGTTGAGTCAGGAGTGTGTTTAGGAAGTGTTGTGCTCTGAATCGTTTGAGAATCATTGATTTTTGAATATATAATCCCAAAGCCATCATCTGCAGAATATATCAACTAGAGATGCAGATCCTCTTTGTAAATAGCCTTAACTGTATGTCCTTAATTTTTGAGTAGAATACTTGAGACCCTCCTTAATAATTGTCTACCTACACCCCTGCTAAAAGTTGAATATTTGTTAATTTATGTAAAAAACATGATTTATTTAGGACACCCCTGGATGTGCTATTGTATCGGAGAAAAATTACAATAATTGATTGCCCCATTGTATGACTGAATACCAAAACAGGAACAATTTTTCCTTTTTCAACTTCCTAATGCTGTTAAAGAAATTCTTTTTGTCATGAAAATTTCATTAAATTTCAAAGTTTTCTAATCAAAAACGATCTTTTCGGTGTCAAAACCTTCAAAGTAATCCCCTCGGTTGTCTTTTATTTGTGAAATAACAAACATGGCATCTTAAAAAAATAATATTAATGCGCAAAAATATATAAGAGGAATAAGCGGAGCAACAGGAGGAAGGAATATGAATAGAACAGAGCATAAAATGAGAATAAATCTTAAATTCCTTTAACAAATTGCCCCTCACTTCTATAAATATTTCTTATTTTTTTTAAACATATAAAAAATCATGGCAAGTAGGGAGAATTTCCATTTTTATATCTTTTTGAGTGTGGGATGATATTAAAAATATTCTTTAAAAAAATCGTAATTTAGACAGAAAATTTTAAGCTGACTGAGTTGTTATGTTATGAAGTTTAATGCTTTGTTTTAACAGATGAATTTTACGTGAAGTAATATTTCAGCACTCGAGATTTTTTATTCCTTGAATTAAATATTAAAATTTGTATTAAAATTTACAAAAAGATTTTTCTTCTTTTTTTTTAAGAGAGGGATTAAAAAACATGAGTCTGATTTCGAGGATATACTTTCTGCCACCTACAAGATGCTCTATTGTTGTATTTATATTCAGAATTTACAAGAAGTCTATTAATAATTTTTTTTGAACCAATTTAAAGAGATGAATTTATAAAAATTGTAGACATTTCTAGATTGTTGCTAGTTTTGAAGCTCTTCCAAAAATGCATCATGCACCTGCAACTGAAAGACATAACAAACTAGAGTCTTAAACCTGTTAAATAAGCTTTTGAACCAACTTGTTTTTATAATACAGGAAATCAATTTCTGTCCTAAAGTATGCTTTAGGAAACTTTTTTTTCATTTTAATTACGCTTTACTGCATTTATTGACGACATAGAGTCCAGTAAACAATTAATATATGAAACTTTTTTTCCAAACCTAAGCTCTAATAGATTTTTTGGAAGACTAAGGCTTTCCCGAGCGACAAAAAGTTTACGTATAGGTGATATCTTGTTGAATGCGGATTGTTTTGTGACTCATGTCGACGTGGAATTATCATGACATTGCCACTAGTCATAAGACAGCCATGCAAACAGATAAATTTAATAAGGTGTCGACAGCATGTCAACATAAACTTTATGTCGCTCGGGTTTCCATTAATACTTTTTAAATTTAATTCTTTACAAAACTTGTTACTCATATTCCAAAAACTCCCCCAAAAAAGAATCCATCAACTTACTGTGAGTTGTATTTGATTGACAAAATAATCCACCAAAATGTCGAAATAATTCTACCCCACTGCAAGAACTTGTAAAAAAATTGTATATAAATTTTCATAAAATAAAATAAAAAGTATAAATAATTTTATGTCAGAAGTTGATTTCATCTCTTGCTCCTTCCATCTCTATCGCACAAGATACTCAATGAAAGAAGAAAAAAAAACTCAATTTTGCTTCCTCTTTCTTTTTCGTGCTGTATACTTTCTTCTTTCATATTTCTTTGTTTGTGCATCATCTATCTATTCGCTAATGTTGTGTACTCATGGAAATTGAGGAGCAAACTTTTCGCTTTTTGAATATTAAATTGGAGATTTTTTGAAAAAGAGTATTTTCTTCTCGTCAGTTCCTAAATCATCGCTTCTCTGTTTTCATTTCACCTCCCAGACTCTTATGTCAATTTTTTAAAATATACTTCACATTCCTATAATGTTTGAAATAGACATACACATTACATTTACTTTTTTCATCTAATATATCAATCATCGTTGTTTACTTGTTTCCTTTCTTTTGATCTCTTGGAAAATATTTAGAGAATTTGAAGCTTTTGGCATAAAAATAAAATCATAAAGTAAATTTTGTTAGAGTTTTTCCTTTTTCTTGATTTTTATTTTCATCCTTGTGATGGGCAGCATTGACCTGATAAGAATTTTTCGGTAGGAATGGGCTTGAAAATAGTTTTTTTGTCTGACTGAAGGTATTTGTGTCATTCTTGCTTTAACTGCAAGAAGTAAAAAGCTATTTTGTTTGTACTGTTCATTACCTCTCCTTGGCTACGCCAATGAGCTGCATGTTAACTTTTGGCTGGTTATAAAAATCAATTGCAATCCATAGATGAACAATATACGAAAATATGCGCTTAACTTGCATGTTTTCGCTAAATTTTTCAAACTCAATCTTTCAATGATTTCCAATTTCTGAAACATCTGATGATTGAAGCTAGCAAATAATAAGATAAGATAAGGGGCAACATTGCTCTTCAGAAAATTAGAATTCCTAGAAATTAGGTCTATGAAAACCCCAAAAAATATGTTACATAAACTTTTCGAAATCCTTAACAATTTCCTGTGAATTTATTAATCAAAAATACCCTGAAAATATTTTGTTGTTGCTTCATATAAAATATTTTTAAAGCTATTTTTGCAGAACCAACATCAAACAGTGTCGCAACATTTTTCTTGATACACATTAATTAATAAAATTACTATTCTCTCTTTTATTTCGCTGTTGAAAAACGGTTTTCCATTATTTTGTGGCAAATAACCTGGTTTGGGGGAGAAAGATCAGCAGCGGGTGGAAAAATGTTCATAATTAATAACGAAAATTGATGCTGATAATTTATATGCACGTATAAAAATAAACAAGGAGATGAAAATAATATCTCAACATGCAAAAATTGAAGAGTATTGTACATAAATATGCAGGAATAGATTCAGAGTGCAGGAAGTAATGACAGAGATGATGTTTTTGTGGCGCATTACTAAAGTGTCAAAAAATTTTTTAAAAAAAGGCAAAATAACTAGAAAAAGTTCAAAATGTTACTAAAAAGCTCAAAATTTCTCCAATAAGTTCAAAAAAATCACCAAAAAATTAAAATGTCTACAAAAAAATGAAATAGTCTCCAAAAAAATTTAAAAAGTCTCCAAAAAGTTTCAAAAAAAATCAAAAAGTCTCCGAAAAGTCTTAAAATTCTTAAAAATCTTCAAATAGTTTAATAAGGATTCAGGAAGTTTAAACTTATTCAAACTTTTTTGCCACTTAAGCCTTTCCAAAAGTTCCACATAAATTCAATCAACAACTTTGTCATGCAAACTGAATAAATAATCACATTTCATAAAAAAAAATTCAAGCTAAATAAAGGTACGAACAAGCATCATAAGCAGCAAACGCGATATCAATATGGTTATTAAAATTGAATGGATGAAAAACTCGATTATCAATTCGCGAATAATGCTAAAAGTTTATGAAAAGCTCATCAATTATTGAACAAAAAAAGAGTGTATTCATGAGTTGCAGTTCAACAATACATTTATGAAGTGAATTAATGGATGACTTTTATACTTTTAACTTTTTTTTGTGTATTTATCCACATATGAAATATTAACAGAAATCCAGTTTTCATGGGATACACGTCGAAGTATTAATTTCATTTATAAATGTACAAAAGTTTTTGAAAAAAAAATCTACAATCAAGGATTATTTCATCCATTATTTTAAGTGACATTATCGGATATGCGGGGGACGAATATTAATTTTATTGTTTTACCAGAAAGACAGTTAAATCAAACCACAAAT